AAAAGAATTTTATCGTAAATTTACTTGTATTGCGCGCATTGTGCTTCAATTTTAGGCAACTACATATTAAGAACTTCATAGATATAGAAAGTCTTTTATTCTCAATAAGATGTAAAAATCAAGTTATGTGAAATTAAATTGGAAGAAGGCCAATACCGGTCATATGGCAGAATTTTGGTGTTTCTAATATTTCTGTGTGATTTTACATACATATTCTAGTTTCAACAAACTGCGTGCGGAACGGTTACTTTTGGATTCCGGATTAATCGCGTCGCGGGGGAGGGGGGATTTTATTAGATGCCGATAAGCATCAGTATTTATTAAATTAGTAGTTATTAAATTGATTATCAATTTAATAACGTGATAATACAGTTCTGTTTTAAACAATAGGCTGCGTTGAATTCAAAAGTAACGGCATGCAGATTGTTAAAACTAGAATATGTATGTAAAAACACATAGAAATATTAGAAGCACCATAATCCTGCCATATGATCATATGACTGGTATTGGCTTTCTCTCAATTTAGTTTGTGTTATACATAGACGGTCGAAATATATATATACAGGGTGTCTCATACTCAATGGTACAGTGATTGTGGGGCAGTAGTGTGGACCAAACTGAATAAAAAAATCCTCTACCATTTTGCGATCTTCGCAATAGTTATCGAGATACTAATCATTAAAAAAAAATTTACGCCAAGTATATACAAGTGTATCGTACATTAGGTACATCTTATCTAAACCAAAAATATTATTTTAACAAATAAAAGTTGTCCAAAAACAAATATGAGATTATACAAATTGCCAAGTATCTGATTAGACATAGAGAGTAGAGACAAAAATATTTTTTTAATAAATCGTTTAAATTATTTAAAGTTATATACAGCAAAAGTTTAATGCCATTGTCTTTCCAAATAACTTTAAGTTTCGTAAAACAGACTTAAAGTTAATAAATGATCAATAGAATCATAGTAAAGCAAAAACTTGGCCATTATGTAAAATTTTTTCTTTTTTTAAAATGATTAGTATCTCGATAACTATTGCGAAGATCGCAAAATGGTAGACTTTTTTGTTCAGTTTGGTTCACACTACCTGCACAAGTGCTGTACTATTGAGTACGAG